ATCTTTATTTGTCTGAAGATTGATTTTACGGCAAAAAAGGAAGAAAATTGTTGACTAGAGAAGAACTTGGGTAGTTCTGCTACCTAGAATTTATCATCGGGTTTTAGTAAGTGTCAGTTCGGAATAATTCAGTTTGATCTGTGACTGACGCAGCTGTCTGCTGGGTTATCCTTTTGATATAAAATGTGTTGAAGTTATTAGGAAGAACTTTTTATGTAACACTCATGAGGTATGAGTCGCCTTAATGGAGTATATTTAGAGTACTTTTCGTGTTGAGTTTGCTCGACTGACATAAATAAGAGGAAGGGTTTTTTCATTTTATTTTATCTTTGTTTTGCTGATGCTTTGTTGCTGCCAAAAATAATTAGATAAGCTTCTGCATTGCATGTTCAGTTTGTCAAAATTCTCATACTCAACTAGACTGACATATAAATAAGAAGACTAGTTTTTCATTTTAATTTATCCTTGTTTTGCTGATGCTTTGTTACTGCCAAAAATAATTAGATAAGCTTCTGCATTGCATGTTCAGTTTGTCAAGATTCTCATACTCAACTAAACAAGTGAGAGGACTCTAATTTTTTAATAAGAGGATCTGTAGACAACAGTTTACTGTTTCCAATTATGTTGGCTCTTCTACTAATTTTCAGTTGGGCTTCACTTGCAAGACTGTCTTAGGCATTTCTTTTGAAGTTTCATACATTCCCCTTTAGTTTTGTTACCAGACAAGTGATAGGATAATCGTATTTCTATTCTTTGAAAAATGATCTGCAGACAGAAGTCATTCGGTCCAGTGATGTTGCTTTCTGTGTTTACATGTGCATATCTGTCTGTATGTAATAACCCTTTGTTTAAGTCTGACATGCTTGCACTTGGTAAAATAATCATTGAGCACATTATCATTATTCTAGTTTGTTGTGATTATGATTTTCATGATTCTTCTTTTGTAATTTTTGGTCCCAGCAGGTTCTCCATGTAAAGTACATCCAATTTTTCTTCTTGCATCTCATGAAAGTTAAATGACAACATGTTGATCCTTGTTTTAGTTAATTGATGTGAATAAACAATGTTATAGCAGAAAATATAAGATGATCACTGTTGATCCTTGTTTTAGTTGCTGGTAGTGAGTTATATGGAACTTATCAATAGCTTTTACTGACTGGTGTCCTCCTGTACTTGAAACTGATGCAGCATAAGACTATTGATAGTGTGCTCGCACGAGGAGAGAGATTGGATAGCCTAGTTGAGAAGAGTTCAGATCTGAGTGCAGCATCACAGGTGAGCATGCACAAAGCAAAAAACAAAAACTTTAAGCTGACATCTTGATCCATAAGCACATATACAACACGATTTGTTAATGTCATTTGTTGTCAAGCATAACAATGAACACAATACTCTGTGCAATTGTGTGAAACCAAAGGCACCACATGCCATGTCTTCTGTTTCCTAGTGGTATCCACATGCTCCATATTGATAACCACCATATCCCAGACAAGAATAGGGTGCAGTTATATTTCTGTCACAGGCATTCGTCCTTATTGTTTACCAAAGTTAAAAACACTATCCATGTCAACCAGGCAAGATTAGGGAAAATGACAACTTAGTTACATGAAGTTGTAATGTTTTTACTCTTGCTGTTTATCACTGTTTCATAGCACAAGTATGCAATGTTGCAGATAAATTGAACATTTTGAACTGACTGCTTTTTGGGCCTTCCTTTTCCCCTTTTATGAGCAGATGTTCTACAAGCAAGCCAAGAAAACCAACCAATGCTGTACCATGCTGTGAAACCGCCTCGAACTCGTCATTACCATAACAATCGTGATCCGTGGTGTAAGCTCTGCCTATTTGGATACGTAGATATGGTTTATGTACCCCTGTTGTCATCATTCCTTGTGATTGCTGAATACCCTCCCTTGCTGTACTCTTTCTTTGCTAATAATTACATTGATGTGGTTGTGGCACAAAGTAACCATGGTATTTTTCATCCATGTCCGGAGACTGCATCCATTTCCTCTTCATTCGGTGTCTTGGTCTAAAATTTTCCTTTTCTGACGAGGAATTGATTGTTGAAATTTCTTGGAACTTTGCCCTTTTGTTTCATGTGGTCATATGCTTGGATGGAAGCTTTTGTTGGTTGATTACCAGCTTTTTAACATGTAAAACCCCCCTTTTTATTCGCTAGTAAATCTCACATTGCTGGTCGTTAATGTGCTCGGCTTCTGTTTAGCAATTTTACTGCATAAAAAAATGCATGCATGCCTGCATCCACCCATCGTTCATATTTTTGTGCACTTATGTGACAGCTCGAATACACACACACAAACGCTGGAGGAAGGCGTCACCGAACGAAAGCCCAGATATCAGAGTCAACGAAATCTGGTTCATCTCAATCCTTGTTCTTATTTTTCCTTTCTTTTGGACTGACTTATTTTTTTCTTTCCTTTTATATTCCCCTTTCCACCCTACCTTCAAAAACTTGCATAATTCAACCACACAAAGCTAGCTAATTCCATGGCAACTGATATCAGAGCTCGTAAAATGATTAACTAATTTGAACTCCATTAATTAATGAATATATATATATATATATATTTGCTTGGCTTTAAGGATATAATTTTTATCCAACAATGCACCTTCTCTTCCAATCTGCATTTGTTACATCGAGTACTAAAAATAAGAATAACGAATGAAATCCGGACATCCTTTGATTGTTTTAATCATTTCCAAAATGACAGGATAAACTTTCCGGTTGAGAACATCTTTTTTAACTCATTCCATGACAACAGAAAACGAAAGAAGTCTGTTGACAGAGACAGGAAGAAAAATTAAAGAGACGAGTGAATAAGACCACAACAAACAAACTCGTAGCATCATATGCCATGACTCGTATGGTTGATTAGCAATACAGGGACACCCTGTAATGATGCACACTTGTTTTTTTTTGTTTTTTTGTTTTTCCTTCTCCTTTCTTTACAACTCTTTAAAAAGAGAGAGAGAGAGAGAGAGAGAGAGAGAGAGAGAGAGAGAAAAGATAAATAATGAGATGGAAACACAGCCATCATTTCTTCTTGCACGTCCACATCTTGTCTTACCACTACCTATCCTGAATGCAGACCTTTGTACACCATGCAAGTTCACTCAACACATCACTGGAAACAAATCTCGAGTCATCAAGCAGCTACGGTTTCTACAGTTGCGATGCCCTCGAGCAGCCTTCCTACTACCACTCCATAGAGCTTGTTCTTCGCAGAGGTCGGTTTGGTCTTTTACTCTCTGTTACTGGTACTACATTTTCCGTAAGCTGCAAAATGATTTTAAACTATGAATTAATAACTACAAGTGATTAGTAAAATGCATCTCTATTGTTATACCAAATGGAAAGATAATAGACAGGTACTCAGAAGATTTTTTTTTAGTGCAAGCCAGCCTTTTAATATGACCTTGCCTAAACTCTTGTTTCCTTTTTCCAATTTTAGGACTACATGGTAGAGATTCAAAAAGTTCACCAAGCATGCAGCATGACAGCAGACTTTTTAAACAAAATAACTGATTGGCACAGGTTTCATACATCATTGAGTAAATTTCATGGTCTTAGATGTGGGCACACAAATTAATATGGAGGGAAATCAACAAATTTGAATCCATAAAAGAAGGAATAGACATACTCAATATTCTAGGGTTCTACCAGCCTTATGGATGTACTGTTCCTATTTTTAATATAAATATGCAGAGGAGACCGAGAAAGACAAACATCATTAATTAAATTTCATGGTCTTAGATGTGGACACACAAATTAATATGGAGGGAAATCAACAAATTTGAAACTATAAAAGAAGGAATAGACATACTCAATATTCTAGGGTTCTACTAGCGTTATGGATGTACTGTTCCTTTTTTAAATATAAAGATGCAGAGGAGACCAAGAAAGACAGACATCATTGAGTAAATTTCATGGTCTAATATGTGGAAACACAAATTAACATGGAGGGAAATCAACAAATTTGAAAGTATAAAAAAAGGAATAGACATACTCAATATTCTAGGGTTCTCCTAGCCTTGTGGATGTACTGTTCCTTCTTTTAATATAAAGATGCAGAGGAGACCAAGAAATACATACATCATTGAGTAAATTTCATGTTCTTAGAATGTGAACACACAAATTAACATGAAGGGAAATGAACAAATTTGAAACTATAAAAAAAAGGAATAAACATACTCAATATTCTAGGGTTCTCCCAGCCTTAGGGATGTACTGTTCCTTTTTTTAAATATAAAGATGCAGAGGAGATCAACAAATACACAAAGTACGACCTGTGATTGCTGGTGTCAAGAAGAAAAGCTCAAACTTGGTACTGACACTTCAGAAAATTTTAATTTCCTTTAGCATGTATGAATTGAATGTAACAAGTTGAGATTATCACAAGCTCAGAATCTGTGCTCTTATCACCAACTGTTGATTACTCCTCATCAAAACACATTGTTGTTCCATATAACAGGTAAGCTCCCCAGCTTTTGCTTTTCCGTACAGCAGTAAAAAGGTTTCCAACAGCCATCTAGCAACCTGTCTTATCTACCATGGGTCCTTCAGGGGATCCATATACTTCTTATGCACCCACTACTGGTGGTGGTACAACCTTACCAGTGTACAAAAAAAGGAAAATATTGAGAAGTTCTAAAGATTATGATGCCCAATTCCCTGAAAGCACAATTATCTGCTGAAACACAAGCACCATCATGATGGATTGCTCCAGAAGATCATGCATTCATCAAGTACATCAAACCACAATCTAAGTCACAGTAGAAGTGGATTATCCAAAGGCATACGACAAGTACATGGGCTTTATTCTTCATTCGTTTGAAGCAGAAAAAGCATCAATTACATGAGAAATAGCCCAAAAACATATCGGCTGATCATAACGCCAATGGGGAAAGTTCATTCAACAGATAACTAATGCATAGGCATTCAGAACCAACGTCACCAGACCAATCAGTCCCTGCAGTAAGTCAAATGCATAACTAATTTTGAGAAGATCTCAAGGCTAATCCATGTGGTGGAAGTGACTAATGACCAATCGATGTAGGTTTTACTTAATGTAGGTAGCTTTCAAGTTGGCTACAACCCATTTTGGATGGTGATTTTCTTAGGTGATTAACAAATAGGAAAGTCATTAACTAGGATTTAGAATTAGGAAGTTTCAAATGTCTCATAAATAAGTTTTTATGGGTTAAAAATTACCAAAAAAGGGAATATTATAGAGAAAGTTTTTGGGAGGTAACTTTGAGATAGAGAGCATTAATTTTATGAATATATTTTAATTTTTGCCTTGCAGAATCCAAAGCACCTTTTTTTCTCTTTTTCCTCTATCACACCTGTGCATTATCAATGCTTTCTCTTCTTCACTACTATAATTGAGGATCTATTACTCTTTTACCAAGATAGCAGATTCCTGACTATTATCTACCTCTATTCAACTGCACATTCATTCATTATTATAATCTAAGAATATATAATAGATTTCGGCTAAAATCAGCATACAAACCCATTGTTTGAATAAATCATAAGAGTTCATATGAAAAGATGATAAAAATTTAAAATCCTTAACTCATCCATTATACCAAATAGAATATCAAATACATCATTCAAAGTTATATTATGATATAAAAAAAACATTTTTTCTAAACCATAAAATGGAATATAATACTTCCAGTGAGATAATAGGATGAAATGCTTTTGAAGATATCTCTTTATGGAATCTCCGAAAGAAAATTTAAATACGAGTTTTCTTCAGAGACAAACCAATTACAGTGCATGAAGACAAAAACTGGTCATTCACATAAGCTTAAGCAATTTAAGATTGAGAAGAATAGTTGATTAGACTGTTAACTTAGGCAGGAAAAAACAAATAATTGTTTGAAATTAAATCCATGGCAGAGTTCTAAATCTGTTATTGATAAGTTTTGACTCTTTTGACCCAGTCATTGCATTAAATTAACCTTCAGATCCAATTAACACTTTAGATCATGATCATCTGAGAATTTCGTGATGTTTCTTCACAATATGACCTTTGATTAATCAGAAGCAAACATAATTATCTTGACCAACTGAACAATCATTTGGCTATAGTAGCAGGAACTAGACTAAGGTCTCACATTACTGCAGAAGCTTTAAAATTTAGAAGGAATAGTGTGCATTTAGTAGAACCGACCATGGGGCATCTGAAAGAACATTTCAATGATTGACCCAACTGTGACTGATTGATTCTAACTATCATTCCAGAATGCACTTCAAATTATGGAAACAGGCAGTTTCAATAAACTGCCTACTAATAGTAGGCATGTGTTCATCACAAAAATGGACTAACATTCTTCATTGTAAAATTAATTAACAAACATTTCATATGTCTACCATGTTTACTTCAGATGCATGTGTTCATCACAAGAATGGACTAACATACTTTATCATGCATCAAACTAATAGTAATAAGATACATGTACATATAGATCCTGACATGTATAGTACAATAAAATTGTTTTGGATATTTACAATTCCTACACTCTCATAACTCCCTTCATTTCTGACTTAAGTAAAAAGGATACATTCAGAATGATACATGGTACAACCATGTAACATTCATGAAAAATATTGGTGTAACAAAATCTTATCTGGCAAGGTGAGGAAGACCAAAATGATAATACAATGGTCATGACTGTCAAAAGTTTACTAAAAAAATAAATGTAACTTGCTTCAGTGTCAAGAACAACAATAAGCAAAATATGTTTATCTCTGATTTACACTCATACCTGCTTAAACCTCGTTCTTTTCAGCTCCTCCTGCAATTAATAATTTGTTTAATGAGAACCCATCATGAAACAGTGATCACTAAGTCTGAAAGTAAGACTGGAAAAGAAGTTTATATTTCTTATCCATAATCCCAACGGTATTCTACATATGAAAGCTACATTTAGGTTTAAAGCCTTTTGTACTGTGTGCACAAACTACACTTCTAAAACTGATTCACTAAAAATTTTGTTGCCCAAATCTCTCGATCACAAAGACATGAAATTTGGTCCTATTGATGACTAGCCTATAAACATAGTCATTTTCCCCACCAGTGAAGGGTATACCAGCAGACAATTCATGATATATACTTAGTGACCATAAAAGTTAAGCAAGTAGTAGAACTTCAAACTGCACTATTTTACTTGAGGTGTTGCATTACCAGAGATCTCAACAACTGCGCCTTGTCCTGCTCCAATCGTGTAACCAAAGATTCAAGCTCAGCAATATAAGCCTACAAATTAAACACATTTCAAGAGTTGAAATTTTTGTTCCACCACTTCTCTTTTAGTGATCAAACCAACTTCTCGATGGAAAATGATAGATCAAGGACCTGTTTCCTCTCCCTCGATCTAGCAGCAGACTCCCTGTTCTTGATCATCCTCTTCTGACGCTGTAAAGTGGCTCTATCCACCGGATCCAACATCGGCCTCTTTTTCCCTCTCCCGCCCCTTTCAGCACCCTCCGCTTTCCCCAACCCCGCGGCAAACTGCTGCTGTTGGACTAACCGATCCACCATGATGGGACTCGGCCCCAAAATCACCGGGCTCCAACCGGACGCAACGCCGACGTCCTCCTCCCCCACCGCGCCCGCCCGCGCCAGGAAGTCCTCCAGCGTCATCTCCGCCACCGATCCGTCCCCGCCGTCCGGCCTCCGGTCAGCGCCCATCTGTCGCCACACCTCCTCCACTGCCTTTTCCCCGACGACCTTGGGTAGCACGAAGCTCCCCTGCCGCGACATCGGGTCTCCCCCCTCGCCGCCCCCGCCGCCGCCGTATATGTTGCGGAAGAGGTCCTCCATGCTCATGGATCCGAGGGTCTTTCCGAGGCCCCTTCCACCGCCGCCACTGACGGAGCTCTGGAGGTCCGCGATGGGGAGGGAGCATGCGGATGACTGGCGCGTGAGATCGGAGTTCGCGGACGGGGACGACGCCATCACCCGCGACGACGCCATGAACCGCCGAGGGGTTTTCGAAGGGTGACTTAGGGTTAGGGTTTCAATCGCTCCACTTGCTTCTCAGCAAGGTTCGTCGTCTCCGCGTGGTGTCCGCGGAAGACGAGGCCCGAACTCGAATTTATTGACCGGCGAGGGGGCTCCGTGGTCAAAGAGGAGGAGTAAGAAAAGCGTGGGCCCCATCGAAACCGCCAATGAACACGGGACGTGGAGGATTGACCGTAGGATTTGTGGTCATCGCGTTTCCTTGCTCTGGGAAGTCCGAGCTGTATAAGGGACCACGTCGTGGGACGGAATTGGACGAAACTTTCCCTCCCCAACGATCTTCCCCCCGAGCATCTCCTCGTCTTCTATGATCGAATGTGAGGCCCACATATGCTCCAGAACAGGGCCCCGGTACTCGTGGATCCCCTTGTGACCGGGGGAGTAGCCCCTTGGGGACGCGTACTTGAATCCTGATTAGCGGGGATAAATCCTGTAATAAAGCTTTTTTCCTTTCATGATTAACAAAATCCTGAAGTATATAAATATATATATATATGTATATATAAAGGGTATTATTACTTTAATGTGAAAGTTGAAATTGATGCCCTAAAGAATATTACATATACATTGATACCCTAAGAAATATTACATGTATTTTCCTTCAAAATTTAGTAATTGTTGGGTTGTGACACTAGAGAGGTTTCAAGAAGTTCCTTATACTCATAAATGGGGACAGAGAGTTTATGGTAGATATTGTAATATAAACATATTCATAATCCTAAGCATGATTTGTCTTCCAATCTAAGCATGATTCACATGGAATGATGGAAATATAATGGGACCCCAGACAAGGTTTTCTTATGTCAATTATTAGCATGTATTGATGTGGACCCCATAACCTAAGTATTTTCTTTTTAATTTAAAAGAGGTGGATGAGGATGCAACAAAATATTTAGTTATAGATATAATAAACCATTGTGAGAAAAACAAGACTAAAATAAATATATTGAAGAGGATTAAAGGAGATCAGACACTAGAGAAAAAAAAAAGGTAGAAAGGAAAAAAAAATCCAGAAAATTTTTAGTTGTTTAATGTGGATGCTGAAAATAATATATAGCATGTCATGTCAGATAAAAGAAAATTTTAAACTATGCAAGACTATATAGCGTACTCAATAAGAATATGTCAATACTTGAAAAATATATTAGTTAAATATCGAATTTTTTGTCCCAAGCGGATATATCAAATGTAAAAAGATGTTTTGGTTACGTCAAATATCTTAGATTTTTTATTATAGGTAAATATATCATGCACAAAAGGGATATTCTAGTCATGTTAAATATCCTGAATAATCACATAACAGAGATGCTTTAATAGTTAGGTTACTTTAGATTTTTTTTTCTTTCATAAAATCACATACAAAATGGGATATTTTGGTCACATTGAGTGTTTTAAATTTTATTGTCTTGAACAAATGCATCGTGTATAAGAGAAATACTTTAAACATTCTTTTTTCCATAAGCAGATGGCAAAGAAAACACTTTAATTATGTTAGATTTTTTAGATGTCTTTTTGTCTTAAATGGATGTATATATATAAATAAATAAATATTTTGAGTGCATTAGGTGTTTTGGGCTAAAAAAAAAACCTTATGTATATTTGTGCTGTTAAATTTAATACTATTATGGTACAGTGGTGAGAGGGTTTCCTCCTAAAGAGTGATCAATCTCTAAGTTGCAACGGGGCAAACACATATCCTTTTAGTCGAGTAGGAAGTGGCCGAAGTGGACATGTCTTTTTAGTGAATAAATATGTCGTAGTGAGTGAGTCAGCATGATCCGGTCTTGTCGGGAGTTCTCTGTTGACTGAGCTGGACGCCGAGGTAGGTTGGGTCTTCGCTATGGGGTGTTGGTCAACGTTTCTTAATCGGGGCGCTGTCTGCATCAAGCTGCATCCCTCCGTTCTCGGGCTAGATGACAACTCACCCTTGTTCACTAGATGGTGATTTTCGGGTCGAGGTGCTCATTGTTGGGGGGTGGTCGCTTTCCTGCAAAAAAGGCTTTCGTTCGGTGATTCCCAATTTTGGCCCCTCCGACGAGCAAGTTAGTTCGTGTGGGAGTTGTTTTTTATTTCTTTTTCTCTCCCTCTGGTCGGACGCCGGTCAGGAACTTTTATACTATTGTACGAGGGTCGGTCGCACGCGGGTTTGACGTGGCTGCTGACTCTCGTGGTACTTCTGACTAGCCACCATCTTGGGACATGCGGAGCGACATCAGACGGTATCGCCCTAAGCTCACGGGATGGGACATGCGGAACAACGTTTCGGTACGATTTTTGACTTAACGTGTGGCGTCAGCATTCTGACTTGGCGTGTGGTGTTGGCTATGATGCAAATGGCTGTGGCACACCTCCCAAGCGTCAACTGTGACGTATCTTAGGCCCAAAATTCGCCTTATCACCATCTTATCACTGGGCAGTTGCCCTTTCGAAGCTGAGTTGAAGGCTGAAGATGTCTCAAATGCATAATAACCAATTTGAGACATCAAATCATCTTGAGATTGTGATTGTCTTAACAGTGTGGTTAACTCGGGAGTGCAATCTTCTTAAGTATGCAATCAACTTTGAAGATATCAGGTTATATTAAAAGATATGATTATTTTGAGAATATAATCTACTCGAAGTAATTCTTTTAACGACACAATAGACTTGAAGATTAGACTTAAGCATTACCAATTTGAAGGCTAGAGTAATTTGAGAATGATTTAAAACTATGACTAAAGAAGCAATTGTCTTAAAAATATCTTATGACCAACTTAACAATGTAACCTTAAAGACATGATTATTTTGAGAGAGAGTGACGATTTAATATACATAGATATATGTATATATATATTCACATTTATTACTTTTTTTTCCTTTTGATTTCTCCCATCATGTTATCTCTTCTTTACTAATAAAGTAGAAGAGAGCAATGAGAATAAAAAGAAAAGAATCAAGCGATAAATCATTGATGCATAATCTTCACTTAGATTGGATGCAATTAGATTTTGATCGTTTGTTTAAGATAAAAAATCATATCCATATGAAATACATCACATAGTGAGCACTTTGAGTTGCAAAGTACAATTAAGAGGAGTTGGAAGATAATAAAGAGAATTCCTTTTGCTTCTTTTACTATATGAGACTATTATCATATATATATAATAATTATTTTTATTATATATAATAATAATAATAATAATAATTAATAATATTATTATTATTTTACTTGCAAAGGCATAGGAAGAGACGGACGAATCAAGAAGCTCTTTCACATGTCATGCCACACAAACAAGGGACAAGGTAACCAATGGCGGGATTCAGCTGTGACCAGAAGAAGGTGGAGGAAACCGGCTTGAATCCATCCAATACGTTGCCGGGAACTCCGATGCCCCGTCCCTGTGCATCCCTTGGTCTCCTGCAGCACTTGAAGCAGAGGAGGAAGGAACGACAATGGAGGAAGGAACAGAGTAGGCCGGGAAGGAACCAGAAGGCCAAGAACTGCTGTCCCTCACGGTCGGAGCCATCGGCGCCGAGGCGTGACCGGAGAGCATGAACTGCTCAGCCCCCTGCAGGAGACTCGAGTACGGCGGAGGAGCAGATGGGGACGGCCGGAGGCAGACGTTCTCGGGGAAGTTGAGCTTGGCTCTGCTGCCTCTGAAGCGGAGGGCGGCCGCATCGTAGGCCCGGGCGGCCGCCTCGGCCGTCTCGAAGGTCCCGAGCCACACGCGGGCCGCCTTGTGAGGGTCGCGGATCTCGGCCGCCCATTTGCCCCACGGCCGCTGCCGGACGCCGCGGTACTTCCTCCTTTGCGTCGTTCCTTCTTCTTCTTCCCTGTTGAAGGAAGCAGGGGAGGGCTCGTCCATGGCTGCTGCAGGAGCAAAGGGTTGCAGCGCTGGAAGGAAGCTTTGTGGATATTGCTCTGTAGCTCCACGGAGAACCAGACGCACAAAGAATGGAAGATGTCAGCGACATGCAGAGGAGGTGAAGCGAATACTATACGAGCTAAAGATGATGAGAAAGAACACAGCAGTAGAAGCACCTGCAACATCTAATGGTGCACCAACTCTTGGGTAGTACATCAATGGCGTTTCAGGTGGCAGCTCCAGTCTCATCCTCTTCTGACTGCTTGCGCCTCCGCCGCCTTCACCACCCAAACATGGCGAAGAATACAACGAAGAGACGTGCGACTGCGACGACGATGACGAGGAGGAGGAGGCGGCGGAAGAAGAAGAAGAAGCGCCAACCAGCCGCCTCCCCTCGCCGGACATGATCACGTGGGTCAGCGCCGACTCCATGGTGGGTATCTCCCGAGCGTAACGATGGCCCGTAAACAACATCGCCTGTGCCATTGCTGACGAGTGCATCATCATCGTCGCCGCCTCCCCCGTCGCTTTCTCCTCCGTTTCATCGCCGCGGACAACCGACGACTCGTGCGGGTTCGCTACCTCGTGACACATGGCATGAGACCAACTCTCGCAACACCTGTTCTTCTTCAACACTTTGAATCTGTGGGAAGGCGCCGCTTATAAAGAGAAGAACGTAAGGGATCAGAACTCAACACAGGCCATTAAAATAACATGAGATCTACAACGTGGTAGCCGCCATTATTTACCTGTTTTCATGGATTAGATATCGCTGGATGAACGCCTGCCTCCATTTACCGAGCCTTCATTCTCGTTCACAGTGATGTATATGGATAGATAGATAGATGTGATTTTCACATACATGTTTGACCACTTAGGTTGGGTTTTAATGGTGGGAGGAGAAGAATTTGGATCATACTTTTCTTGTTCTTCATATATTTAAGCTTATTGGGAACTCATCTTCTGACCCGAATATGGCGAGGATTATTCTGGAGTTCTTCATTGTATCTACCTAGATGCTTTTTTGACATTTTGCACCATCACTGTCTTGGAGTTATTGGATCTTCTGTTTTCAGGTACTTCATCAACCACAACAGCAGCAGTAAAAGGGTTGGACTTTGTGCGTAGCGATGAACACATGACAGAAATAGGGGAACAGCCATGATGCATGTACAGCATAAGTTTCCTGGTCCAAGGAGACTAATTTAATGAAGAAGATGACGTGCTGATGAGGCAAGCTGTTATGTAATCAATCACGTCTGAAGCTTCCTTTCCCACTCTCCTCTAATGGGTGGAGGAGGCATACAAACTAGAGGAAACCTAAATTGCCTCGTCTGCTCATAGTTCGAATGATCATCCGATTAGATATTGTGTTATTGCTCCGATAAATCGACCGATTCGATCATGAGTTGATTTTTGTATGATCAGTGAACTCTTCTCCTACTCGTTTGAACTCTTCTTCTCACTAATTTCCAAGATGATGAGTTCATCATAGTGCAGGTTCAAAGTATGGCACCCTCAAGGACGAAGAGCTGTTGTGTCGTCAATCTAATCCTCAATTCAACTGTTTGAATCACACCACAAATCAAATCAACAACAGGAGAATGCATGAACCAGCAAAGACAGATCTCAGCTTCCCGTTTGTGACAGATCGACACGATGCAGAGTTCAAAGAATCATATGTTTCAGCACACAAAAGGAGGAGGAGGACGAACAGCAGCTGCGTCGTCACCCAAGTTATTAAGGTGAGAGTGCATGAACCATCCATCATTGCAGAAACAACTCTCGGCTGTTTCGTGTTATGGTAGGAAGAGATTGCTGCTTGCAAACAGAGACTGCATGTTGGAAACATTACATGTTGCCAAGTCTGATTTGGTTTGACCATATCCACCCAAAGAATTGTCTCCATCAGTCAATGATTTGGAATTAAATCAGGTGGGTGGACCATGCAACATGAAAAATAAATGGCCACTGGCAATCACATGGAACCTCCTCATCTTCTAAATGAAAATAATAATAATAAAGGAAGAATCACACATAACACTTCAGTTCTTGGATTGTCTTGATACAAAGCATGCAAAAGGAAAACAAGGTTGACATGTGAAAGCATGAATAGTGTTGCTTAGTACATGTCCTTAAATATGCAAAATTACATTATATATATAAAGTTAGTGATTTTCTTATTTTATTATGTTAAAAATATTTTGGACATCTTAGATATTTTATATTTTCATGTACTTATTTTACATAAAACAAATTCAAATTTTTTGGATGGATGTTAATGTGAGTATCATATGGGAGGATCCTAATTGTTTAATATATATTATATTAAAATTTATAATGATAAATATGTTACTTCTAAACTTTGCAAATATATTGTGAAGGTAGTTTTTATTCCTTTTTTTAAATTCTAACTCGAAGCCGATCGATGTCTTATTTTATATATCTTAATGTGTGATGGTGTCCTATTTTATATATCTTTATGTATCAAATCCTGTAATACAATATCAAGGTGTATTCGACAAAGCTCCTCTAAAACTTAAATTAGCTTTTAAGTTAAAATTATCGATCATATGCGAGTCAAATTTATTAAAATAATAATCTTCATTAAAAAAATATATACCTTAGTGTCTTTGTATAATGAGGTATTGGACCATGCACTTGATGATTATGTATCATTTTTAGTGTTGGATGTAATCATGCTACATCAAACCTGAAAATTATAAAGTGATTGAGTGGGATCGAAATAAAAATTAAAATTAAGTTATGTCATGAAATCATGTGATAGTGAGATATTGATCACCATTATATAATATTGAGTATCATTTATATAAATATCAATCGTTGAGGTGTCGATAATATTTTTTATATAAATATAAAACTTCAACTAAATAGATCTAACATGTTGTTGGGAATTGGGAAAAAGAATCTCATTGAATCCAGCTTTTTGGAGTTCATCAACTAATATTGGTCACACGCATTCTTCTTTGGGAATCAAGGAAAAGAGAGTAAAATTGGACTCATCTTCATCCAAGTAACGTTGGTTAGAGTCTTCGATCATGGTTTGGTTTGAACTACAATTGAATCAGATTAGAATTCGAATCAAAGGAAGGATAACTGAGCAATTTGTCTCTCCCAACAACCATATAAATGACTATATTTAAGGATATTTTTAATTATTTTTTATAATTAAAAATATAAAATTATGAAAAAGATAGATAGATTTACCCTTTCAACAATCAAATACTACTTATTTTTGGGGGGTATTTTAGAAAGAAAAGATCCAAAAACTTATAAATATTTCTCAAATCCTTATTTTTTTTTTAATTCTTAAGCTCTCTTCTCCGAGGAGGCTTTTGAAGATCCGATCGTAATATCAATAAAATCAACACATCAACATTGATGTTGATTAAGAGGAAAATCGATACCGTGACCAAACTTAAATTGGACATCTTTTAAGTTATATTTTAAGAAGGTTCACAGTGTTCATGACTCTTTTCAAATTACTATGATCAAACTTTCAAATTCAAAAGAGGATGAAGTTATCAAATATTCTAAAACTAACAAAAGTACTCTTTCCATATCTATAATAGTTGTCGAGAAAGTTTTCGATATGAGAAGATAGATCATGAATGAAACTAGATCGAGCATGACCCGTGAATCAATTGAAACTTAAGCATATATTGACAATTGAACAAAAATAGTGAAATATAACTAAGAGATCATCCGAAAAATAATTAAGAAGCCCCCAATTCGACATATCAAACCAAGAGACATATATCAAAGTTTTTTGTTATGCAATTATACATTTCATCAATTTTTTTAATTTTAAAATAAAATTATAAATTTTTATATTATAATTTAAAAAATTAAAAAAATCAATTCGAACCCGAACGAAAACCGATCGAATCAGATTCAATTTTGATTTTAGATTTTATCAGGTCAGGCCTAAGGGTCACAGCTCACGTTCTTCCTTGGGAAAAAACAGAGTAGAACCGGATCCAACTTTCTCAAGTTCATCAAGTCTTAGATTGAGAGAACGTGAAATGTCATCCTTCCAATGGATGGCCACCTTTCGACATGTACATTATCTTAAAACAATTCCACATGAATCGAAAATTCTCTGGATCATGGTATTCCCATAGTTGGTAATATTTGCATCTTGATTTAATCTATAAAAAAAAGATTATTCACAAGATAGTAGTGTGAAATTTGATCATGAGGTTCAATATGATTGTTGTTAATCTCCATTAATTAGCAAAAGCTTATGTTCTAATCTTACGTAAAATATAAGCATCTAATGCAAATTGCACTTCAAAATTTATCATATGTTTGGAATTACAATTTCGTATGGATGTTCTATTCTATTTATTTTTTATTCTGAGAGGATGAGGCCTGACATCATGATAAGTTTGCAACTATATATGATCCTTTTCATTCATGATAAGGATTGTTAAAGGCCAATCAAGAAGGCATTCAACATTGTTAAATCTGATTCATTATAGTCAAATATTTAATTTAAAAATAATTAATATTCTTTTAAATATTTTTTTAGCATCATCAGAGTCAAAAGAAATACTTTCAATGGGTGTTAATATCAATTAAAATATTAATAATAATTAACTCTCTCTCTCTCTCTCTCTCTCTCTCTCTCTCTCTCTCTATATATATATATATATATATATATATATATATATATATATATATATATAGAGAGAGAGAGAGAGAGAGAGAGAGAGA